GTGCCATTCAATAATATGTATTCGGAATGGAACCAAGACGACTAACGATTTAGCCCCAGTGTGTTCGGTTGGTGTAGCAATACTGTAGTATTGTTGTCACCGGTTGTTGTGTGGTTAGACTAGTCCGAGTAAAAGGTCTTTCCAAAAATATGCTTTGACCTAGTCCCTCTTTTGGGTCGTCTCTCGTTAGAAACCAAGGACTTTGAAAGTCTTCAGAGAAGATGTGTGCTCCCCTGTGTACGACTACATCTTCTCTGTACGCTTCTTTCCCCTGTATACAACTACCATCTTCTCTGGTACTTCTTCTCCCCTGTGTACGACTACATCTTCTCTGTACTTCTTCTCCCCTGTGTACAACTACATCTTCTCTGTACTTCTTCTCCCCTGTGTACCGACTACATCTTCTGCTGCACTTCTTCTCGCCCTGTGTACAACTACATCTTCTCTTGTTACCTCTTCTCCCGCTGGTGGGTGGACGCGAACTACAAGTGGGCTTCGTCTGTACTTCTTCTCCCCTGTGTACAACTACATCTTCCGGCGGTCTGGTCCTTCTTCTCCCCTGTGTACAACTACATCTTCTTCTGCACTTTCTTCTCCCCTGTGTACAACTACATCTTCTCTGTACTTCTTCTCCCCTTGTGAGTTACGAAACTACATCTTCCTCTGTACTTCTTCTCCCCTGTGTACAACTTACATCTTCTCTGTACCTTCTTCTCCCCTGTGTACAACTACATCTTCTCTTGTACTTCTCTCCCCTGTGTACAACTACATCTTCTCGTGTGACTCTTCTCCCCGTGTACAGACTAATCTTCTCTGTACTTCTTTCTACCCCTGTTGTACAACACATCTTCTCTGCTACTTCTTTCTCCCCTTGTGTACAACTACATCTTCTCTGTACTTCTTCTCCCCTGTGTACAACTACCATCTTCTCTGTACTTCTTCTCCCGCTGTGTACAACTCACATCTTCTCTGTACCTCTTCTCCCCTGTGTACAACTACATCTTCTCTGTACCTCTTTCTCCCCTGGTGTACAACATTACATGTTCTCTGTACTTCTTCTCCCCTGTGTACAACTAACATCTTCTCTGTACCTCTTCTTCCCCTGTGTAACAACTACATCCGTGTCTCTGTACCTCTTCTCCCCTGTGTCACAACTACATTCTTCTTCTGTACTTCTTCTCCGCTGTGTACAACCTACATCTTCTCTGTACCTTCTCTCCCCTGTGTTTTACAACTACATCTTCTCGACTTCTTCACTTAAAATCGCAATTATCCATCTGGAAATTTTCCAAATTTATCACCTTTACTATGTTACCCATATGTATTAGTTAGTTAGTTTCAAAATAAAGTCCTTAGTTCCTGAGTCCTTTCGTGTATTAGTTACTTATAGCCAAGAAATTTTACACATAAATAACTTTAATCCTGGGAGTAATGAAGGAAGATAGAGACGTGTTTAGATGGGTCAAAACCTTAATGTAAATAAACATTCATTAGCATTCAAAAACTCTGTGTATTGAACTTTATCAATGAAACGTACAACTTATATTAATACTTGTGTATATTAGTTTTGTTATTTAAGGCCTTAATACTACATGATACGTATGTTATATCTCTGAAATGGTCAATAGTGCCTCATTTAATATCTTGTTTTATTTAATATACAATTGGAACGTCCTAAAGTATCACAAAAAGTGCGACAATATAATGAAAATGGATTCATTCCTATGAATTTATGAAGAGAACCCAATTAGCAGTGATTTTCGTCGGGATTACGTAACTAATCCTTCATTGTTTTATTCGATTCACGGGGGCTATTTGTAAGAGCAACAGTAGAACCGTTATATGGATTAATATATTTAGCAATAGTGCAGTGCGTACTTGGCGTTATTTGGCCAGTCTTTGTACGAGTATTCTATCCTGAAATAACATAGATGTGTATCTACCCAGTGTACAGTTAATTACATGTATAATTGCGTAATAAACCATTATCCTATTATCGTTTTTTTTGCATCACCGTCTATGATGTAACCGTTTCAATAAATAGGCTTGTAATAAGTATTATTATTGTATTTATTATATACAGCGTGTGTATCACACCAAAAAATCGAAAACACCGTATACTGTCGCTGTTGGAAGGACTTAGAGGTACCTCTTTTTTTGTAAAGAGTGTAGTCGTCGTCCCCGTCATTACTCGTAGTTTCGACTTGCTTGTCGTAGCTTTTCGCGTGCTCTTCTTTGTCCCCCACAAAGCGCTCCACGCGTGAGGGAAAGATGACAGTTGGCTATAAAGTCCTCAGTGACGCACGCACAAGAATCCACTGTCATTGGTCCAAAAATAAACATAAAAGAGGGGTGGAACGTAGGTGTCAAATCAATACCCTGTGGCCGCTTCGTGCAGCTAGTAGGTCTCCCATTGCCCGTCTGCTGCTTGACGACGGGGCGAGTCTTCGAGCGGTTCCTCTATCCTTTCTCTGTGTAGCGGTCGCGACTAAGGACCGGGCGCTCCTTCATTTCCCTATGGGGGTGGACTTGTTGATTCTACGACCGGCCTCAAGGGAAGACGAGCCTACCCAGTAAGAGGCCCGACGACACCTGAGACCCTACAAGTCTCCATGTACGTTAATAAAAACCTCTTAATTGAAATCAGCTCGTCGGTTTGGGGGAAAAATTTCACACGTTCTAGTCGGTAATAGACAAGTAAATAACAAAAATAAAATGGAAAATCGAGAACAGAGTATCAGAAAATTAAAGAGAATAGACATGGTTATGGTTTTAACCCTAGTTATTTCATGAAAAATAGAATGAGAATTGTGGGATTTGGGGGATTACAGTTTTGGGACGGTGTTGGGGAAATTGACACGTGCATAGCGGAATGGAAGGAATATAAATGAACTACCAAACAACTCCAATAAATAATTCACAAGAGACGATGACGTGAAACCCAGAGCCCCAATATCTTCACGATTATTTATGTCAAAATAACATAACATGCTCATTTCGTTACTTCATATTACACTTCTCTACTACGTTTGTGCCATTTTTGACCCGACGTTCTATAATTTATGCATTAACCTAGGTCGGTTTTTAGGGAGGTTAGAGCGTTCAATGTTAGAGTAGTCTTATTAGGGGTTAATCAGTAAAAAAAGAGTTTTAAAGCGTCGGGATGTAGATGTGGGATTTATAGTTATTATTGTGTAACTAGAGAGAATCACAAAACCCACAGGTGGGCTGGTGCTACTCTAACTTTTCCACCGTTTTTCGAACCCTCCGTTCCAAGGTGGCGTCCTCAGGCTTCAAAGTTTCTGAGAGAAGTAGGGACCTTTGGGTAGGTCGCTCAAGAGGTCTGAGGTGAGGCCCATGCAGTTGTAGCTGGTCCACAAACACACACCCGACACACACCAGAAACTAGTCTTCTGTGCAATGACAGGTCTCATAAGGATGTGAGACCATGAAGATGACATGAGTTTCATGTTATAGAACCTCATGAAGATGAAAATGAGGTCATGTTCTAATGAAGATGTAAAAAAAAAAATGAAACGATGAAATTCATATAAAACCTACGGATTTTTAAAGATGAAAATGAACTCATTGTAAAATTACGTCCTGAAAAAAATTGAAAATTGTCTCATAACGATGTGAGACATGAAATGAAATGAGTTTCAGTGCTATAGATTGATGTAGAGGGTCATAACGTAAAAAACATCCGATAAGTCAATGTGAAGCATTTATTGACGTAACACACGTAGACTGTTCTTCATTTAGGACTAGCACAGTCGAATGGAATGTTTATCCCCCTTTCCGGGACTTATTAATACACAAGGCAATGACTTCTCCTTCATATCTTACCGTCTAGTAATTGTCACTTCACGTCTCCACCTTTCGTCACCTCATGTTTAATGAAGGCAAATGACTTGGAATTCATGTAACAAGGGACCATATTCAATAAATGGGTGATGGAAGAAAAAGACTACTGAAAAATGAAAGATGAAGAATGTCAACTTGTGTTTAGTGGACATGAAAGGATGGAAGAATGTACAACTTGAGTTTATGGACATGAAAGATGAAGAATGTACAATTGGGTTTATGGACATGAAAGATGAAGAATGCAACTGGGGTTTATGGACATGAAAGATGAAGAATGTACACACTTGGGTTTTATGGACATGAAAGATTGAAGAATGTACAACTTGTGTTTATGGACATGAAAGATGAAGAATTGTACAACTTGTGTTTATGAGATGAAAGATGAAGGAAGTACAACTTGAGTTTATGGAATGAAAGATGAAGAATGTACAAACTTGGTTTATGGACATGAAAGATTGAAGGAATGTACAACTTGAGTTTATGACATGAAAAGTATGAAGAGTGTACAACTTGTGTTATGGACATGAAAGATTGAAGAATGTACAGACTTGAGTTTAGGACATGAAAGATGAAGAGTGGTACAACTTGGGTTTATGGACATGAAAGATGAAAATGTCAACTTTGTGTTTATGACATGAAAGATGAAGGAAATGTACAACTTGAGTTTATGACAT